ATTGGTTGGTAAATACATCACATATTTGTTATATTTATATATGTTTATATTAGAGTGAACGAAGATAAAATCTCTTAAAGGCATCTTATATATTAGTATATAAATATTACAGTACGGTACATTTTGGGGTAAAGGTGTTCAACATCTGGTTTGTGGCCCCCAAGTGGTCCCTGAAAGAACTGCAGGGTTGTTGCACACACTGCAATTTAAATATATATATATTCGTAGTATTTCAAAGCTTTTGCATGCAAAGTTGAAAGATATGTTTTATAAATGACAGGAGGCGGGGCTTAATATGAAACGCTATCTTATAAAACATGTACTGTAGCAGTTCCCTTCCATAAAAGTGAACATATAGTAACATATACCTCATAGTAACTCATATAACCTGCAGACAGTATTTCTTCTTCTATGTCACACACTGTATGTCAAACTCAAGGCTCATGGGCTAAATGTCATAATCATAAAATAATATTTTTTTGTATATATCTATATACATGCTATATGGATAAATGAAATACACTGACTTTCAGCATTTTATTGGCTTTTATTGTAAAAAATAATTAACAGATTAATTACATGCAGCTGCTAATCAATCTGGTTAATCTAAACATCCTGTCCAACATTTAACCTCCTCTTTCTCTCCCACACACTGAAGTTCATCACAACACAGCGACTTTCTCATTCCTCCTCATACGAACACCTGTCAAGGCCAATACGTCGGCTCCAGAGAAACTCCGGCCTCTGCGGTCTTTTCACACCGCTGGAGCTGTTTCATTCTCCACGGCTCTCAGCCTCAGTTACCTTTGACTCCTTGAACTGCCAGATGTCCATTTGTAACCCACCGAGCTCAGGGGACATTCAATAAACAACAACGAGGGTCATGGGAAAATCATTAAGGCCACCGGAACTGGTTGGACTTCCTGCAAAAAAGGTAGAAAAAAAACCCTCCCTCAGATCCTAAGTTGAAGTTAAGGCTGGTATTACTCTGTGTGGCTACGATATATGTGTCTGTCTCTCCTTAACGCCCGACTGTGTCTGTGTCGCCCACGCTACCAGAATGCATTTGTCACACTTGAGAGTGTAACTTTGAAAAAACTGCAGTCACAAATCCTCAGTTTGTTTGGGAACACCTACAGGTGAGCAGTGCAGTTTCCACTCCTGTCACAACATGCACTAACCTCAGTACATCAACATTGTCATGAGTATTTTTGAAAGCAAAACATTCAATTTGGCATGAACAATGACAACATTAAAATTATTATAAATCTAAAATGTTGCGCCCCTGTAGGGGCAGCATCCCTCACTGTGAGAACCATTGCATTAACCCACTGGCTCCCACACGTTTTTTGGCATGATCGCAGCTGTCAATCAAAACGCACCAGCTTAAATATTTTTACATGCTGTATTTTTTTAACTCGATTTATATTCATGAAAGTCAATAATAAAGTTGTTAAATATCACATGTGTTGTTTTTAAAAAAGAATAATAGTTTGTTGGAAAAATACTTATATCTTTATTTTTTTGAATCAATTATTAGACATTTTACTCCATTTGAATTCCAGGTGACCCCACATGGAGTCGCAACCCCAAGATTGAAAAGCTAAAAAGCTAAATAAATAAATAATTTTTAAAAAGTTACAGTACTGGTAAAGTCTTTACCTCATTTTAGCTTCACCAAAAAAAAAAAAAAAAACATTTTCAATTTAATATTACCGTTTTTATAAACATCAGCAGCTGTAAACTGTTCCGTCTCTGGCTGTGAGCAGCGCCTTCTTTCCCTTTGTGAATTGCATTGTGGGAGTTTATTGTTAGCCAACAGAGCACACCACAGAAAAATAGGCCACACACACTTTCCATACTGTGTGAACTGCAGTCACTCTTCTTGTACCACATACAAAACCTGGAATAGGTTTGGTGTTTATGTCACTATGAAATTGTAAAAAAAAAAAAAAAAACCCTGCTTCTTATCTGACACTGGGTGAGCTTTGCCTTATCACCAATTGTAAATGAATAATTAAAAAAAATTAATTCACTTTATCCTCTTTAATTAACAATTATAAACTGAAAGATAGATGTTCCTAACGTGGTGTTTTCTCACCTCGTCAATGAGAAGATATAAAACCACTGGAGAAATGATGCATCAGTTCAGGAGTTAGCAGTTAGATAATTCATACTAAATGAATGCAAAATGATTGGTGTATTTTTTTTTCTCCAACAGGGAAACATTTAAGTGCTTGGAATATAATTTGAATATTTATCAGCTGGAGTCGGCCTGATTTATTTTTTCATCCATTTCTCTTGTGAGCTGCATTGACTCACTCACTAACCATCTACAAAGAAACAGGTCCTCACTTTAACTCTGCAGCTCTGAATCAGCCTTAATGTGACTGCTAAGTGACGATTCTTTTTTTTCTTTTCTTTTTTTGTTTCAGAGACACAGCCTCAATAAGAATACATTTGTAGGCCGCACAAATGTCTGAGCATTAACAAAACATGACTGGGCTGGAAACTCAGTCAGTGGAAATTGCTTTGCTGTCTGTTCTATTTCATGCCAAACTGGGTTTCTGTTATAATTTATTTAAAACAAAGAATCTCAGAGATTTGACGCTGAATTAATGACAACACCATAAAACAGATGTAAAGTTGCCCAGTACAGACGCAGACATTCAAGTGACGCGCTCAGGAAATGTGTGTCTGGGTAAATGAGTCAAACTGCTTACCAAACGACCTATTAGAACGACAGTAGTCGTTTCAGTAGTTTAAAGGTTTTTTTCTTATTAAACTTTTTACTGAGGTGAACATTTTTACTATCATTGACAACACAGTTTTTGTATCATAGTATTTAAATGCAAATATGTGTTGATTAAAACACATTACTTTTGGAGGTGTGTTATGTTCTCCAAAAACATCCAGCTCGGTGTTAATTATGAGAGAATATTGTGAAGGATTTGGCAGCATCTAGTGGTGAAGTTATGTATGATCAGTCAATGTCTGCCATTATTCTTCCTGTCACAGCTCGTATGGAAATAATACGTTGCCGTAGTTATCATTAAAGGGTGATATTGAAGAACATTATTGATTAATGTGTATTTATCATGCAGGTGGTGAGTAGGACGAACGCCCTATGGTGCCTAAAGATAGGGAGCGAGGAACGGTTTTGTATATATTTATGTATGAATTTATTTATGTATCTATTTATTTATTTTTTTTTGCTTAAGGATCACAGCTGGGACCTATCCAGTAGGTGCTGCTCTTGGCAAAAAATGTGTTTTTGCAAAAAAAAAGAAACTCTCCACCAGGGGGCAGTGGATGGCTATAAAACCTTAAAAAAAGACAAACTCTGAGCTGTTGAAGAAGAAACTTCCTGTTTGTCTTTCTTCAATTCCTGTGAGTATAGCAATGTTGTTTTTGATTAAACAGTTGCTGATTTCACACTCAGTTAATTGTGAATTGAACCTATTGGGTCATTATGATGTTTTTAAATATACTGTTAAGGTACTTTATATAAATTAGTGGGACTGACAGTCTGTTTTCATGGTGTGTGTGACAAAAAAAAACTCAAGGGTTTAACTTGATGAGATGAAAATACATGTGACTGGAAAAATGGAGCGATAAATGTTCCTGTGAAAACGGACAACGAAGTAGGAAGTCATTTGATTAAAACTGTCCTCATTTAGTTACAGAGACATGTTTCATCATTAACTCTGTCTCCTACATGTGGTCCATTCTTTATTTCCAATATAAATTTCTCATTTATCACTTCTGGAAAGTCGCCTCAGGGGCAAGAGAAAATAATTGGAAAAACCTGAGATGAAATTGCTGATGAAATAACAACATGATGGAAAAAGTGATTAAATGTTTGTCAATTAATTTTTAAACCTTGCTCTTTTTTTTTCTACAGCTAAAACACTGTCAGTTAGGTAGACAACAGCTGGGGTGAAGGTTTCAACAGGAGCTTCAATTTACAACCCACCATTGTATTAGATGAAGGAAAATACAACATCTAAAAACATCCTGTACCAGGTTTTTTCTCAGCAAGTGTCAATAAAAATGTTAGCAATTTAATTTATTTTGTTCTTATTGTGTTCTGCTGATTAAATTTCAGAGTTTTTAAGGGGCAACAAATAAATCCCAGTGCGTGTTATTGTTCAATTACAGGGGGGAAATGTTTTAAATGTTTTTTTTTTTGAGGGAAATGTTTTAAATGTGTTTTTGTTGTTTTTGTTGTTTTTTGTTTTTTGTTTTGTTTTTGCTTTGTCCCTATCCTGCCAGTGTTGTCTGGGCAACACTATCTATGGGACACACCCTCACTTGATGCAATTATCTTATTTACCACAAGAGGGTAACCGCGAGTAAGAAGTATAACTACAAAAGCATGTGCGTGAGGATCTACAATGTTGATGAAGGAATGAATGTGCCACGATTGGGAAGTGTGGCTACTTTTACTTTCAAAATAAAAGTCCAGTGTAAGGCAAGGAGAAAAGACGGGAGGCAGGGCAAACTAATTAGATTAATGAAGAGGATTATTATATTGGATGACATTGTGTGAAATATTCTAATGTAACTGTAATATTTTCTTATTTAATTTATTTTATTTGCAGATGTTGCTTTTTACTGCAAGTCAAAGATTATTTGGTTTTATCTGATGAATATACATAAGGTAGATGTATATGGAATGTAAACATAAATAAAGCCTATATGCAAAAAAGTTTAGCTAAATTTGTATGTCAAACCGCTGTTACGTACTTTTATGGATATAAATTTATTTATTTTAGCTGTTTAGCTGTTAAATAATAAACTATGAAAAGGTTTTAAATGCCTCACATTGTCTTTAAATATTGTTTAAATAATAAACTATGAAAAGGGTTTAAATGCCTCACATTGTCTTTAAATAAATAAACGGCCACCAAAAGAAAATAAGAATAAGAACACTTTGAACATTTATTCTGGAAGACGTGACCGGATGTAGCTCACTTGGTTTTTATCCGTCTTGCTGCCGGTGCTTAGAGCTCAGTGGCCCGCTGAGCCCACGGAGAACAGATAGTGTCCTCTCTGGCGGACAGTAACACCAGGCTTGTGACTTGGAGATTTTCTTCTTTCTTGACTAAAACCTCTCAGAAAAAAACTACGGGATGCCTTCAAGTATAAACGTCCAAGGTGACGAATGTTTTACCCGCAGACTGCCATGTTTACATTGTGTCTGCCCTTTGCTAAAGCTTAGAGACGGTACAATAGAGCATCAGCAGGCCGAGCGTCTATTCCTACTATTCTAGCTTAGCCCGTGTCGATATTAACGAGCTAACCATTAAAATAACACGCTTTTTATTTTTTCCCTCGCAGGAGGCAAAGCCTTTGGACAACTGAAGGAGCAGCAAAGGCAAAAACTGGAAGAAATAAACCAGGTACGTGAGCTGTTGTCTTCTCTCTCGCCCTCGGCGCGTCTAACGGCACACTGGGGAATTTGAATTTAATTAGTTCCCGTACACTTGACTTGGCATTGGCCTTGTTTCACATGGAGACGGTGATGATTCATGGACACGACAGTCTTTGGTGAACAGTAGTAATGGCGTGAGGAACAAATCCCCAAAGGCGCCGTTCTTCCACTATAGGTGAATATTAGCAGGATGCCGTTGATGCTTTTATTGATTGGACCCCGCGGTGTGTCGTGACGACACTTGTTGAATGACTGCATGCTGTCACGCAGCTCTTGTCTGCAGGACAATTCCACGCTGGGTGATTTTAATGACCATAATCAGCGTTTAAGAGCGCAATTTAATAACATTTGTTTTATTTTAATTATCGTCGTATCTGCCGAAGCTGCCCGTCCTCCAATCACTGCCTTCTCCACCCTAATCACATCATACAACAACTATTTTGAAAGTGATGCAATGGTTTACAGTAGAGTTTCATCGCAGAGTCCTAAGTTTTGGTGTTTTGTTTTTTTTAAAGAATTATTTTGTGGACCAAATGACTAGTTAATTTAGAAAAATCTATCCATTATCTAAATGTGACGACTTAGAAAATTTGCGAATTCATATTTTATAGGTTTTCTATGCATTGTGAAAAAACTGGTTACAAATATGAAGATAAAGCAGTATTAGTTAGCAGTATCGCTAGAACAGCGCTTTTCAACCTTGGGGTGGTGACCCCGTGTAGGGTCACCTGAAATTCAGATGGCATGATGAAATGTCTAATAATTGATAAAAAAAAAACTGTATTCTTTTACTGTAGAGTAAATATTAATAAATCATATAAATCATATTTAAATAAAAGTAATCATTTAATATTATCTGAAGTCACGCATCCTTAAAAATATCTCTGGGGCGCCAAAAATTTGTGATGTCAAAATGGGGTCACAAGCCAACAAATGTTGAGAACCACTGCTCTATGAGGAAGCAGTACATATATGTGTACTTTGAAATACCAATAAGTAACAAATGAAGTTCTTGTATTTTGATCAGGAGTCTATAAACAGACACTACTTTTACCTAAATCTTTGCAGAAGAAAAAAACTCCCTCCAAGGTGCGTCTTCTAAAAGGAGCATGTGTTTTTACAGCTAGTGAGCGCTTCCTCCCTCCTGACAAACAGGTGTGTCAATGAGGTCTTTGTGGAACACCAGGCCTCTGAGTGGTGGTTCTCTCACCGATGGACTAGTCTGTATAGTCTGTGTCCTCTACCTCCACTGGCAGCCCTTCAGCTGCTGCTCACTGCAGCGGCCGCAGTATACACAGGTCACGACCAGAGGGCAGCTGCAGGCACCTGTGCCGCTGCTGCCCTCCTTCCTCCAGCAGATTCTGTGATGTGTTGTGTCATCACTTATTTCTCTGTAATAAAGATTGTGGAGTGACTCAGCCTGGATCACTGAAGGAATTAGAATTAAACCAGGAAATGTATTTTAAAAACAAGAACATTACCTCAGTGAAGTTATTAAACTTCTCATCTTGGGATTTTATGTACCTGGAGCTGATTCCTTTATTGTAAAGAACATTCATTGACATTTTTTATGCATTTTGCAAACACTTTTATCCAAGACGATTAACATTATCAAGCATTTGGTTCCTCTGGGAATCAAACCCAGGACTCTCTGATTCCGAGGCAGACATGCTAACCGCTCTACTCTGGAACCATTCATTTACTTTCAGAAAGTCACAAACTACTGTTTGAACTAGTAGTATTTTCAGGTGTTTTTCTTGCACACACACGGCAAACTTTGACCATTCAGTTACGCATGTGCATTGACCTCTGACCTTAGTGTCGATAAGTTTGTTCTTTCTCAATAAAGGCAGATATTTCGTACCTCACAGGACTGTAAAACACAGTGTGTGTGAGTCACTTGTACCTGGTAAACATCTAACCACGCTGTTGATTGTCTTGACTAAGACACTGAGGTCACTGCAGATAACATGGTTACTTTCTGTTCTTTTTTCTTCCAAAGACCAGAACAGAATCTCCGAGGGCAGATTGCATCATTAAATTTTCATTAGTACAACTTCCTTCAGGCTCTTCCCTTTATACCCCTGTGATTTGCTCCATATAATGTTGAACTCCATAGGAAAAACACATTTCTGACTCAGGTCCCTGCTTGTGCAGTGTGTGAGTTGGGGTCTTTCAGCTTTACATGTTACATGGTTTCAGTTTCATGTGAAGCTGGTGAAACCTGTCGTCCTGATTTTCTTTCCTTTGTTCTCTGCCTTTCTCTTCTTCCCAGGAATTTCTGGAAGACCAGAAATACAGGGATGAGGAGGACCTGCCAGATAAACTGGAGAGTCTCAAAAGTAAGAAACTCCTGTTTTTCCCCTCTTTTGTTTTAGTAACAGTAGTCTCAGGGTGGGGTCCTTCTTCCTAGTGTTTGTCGTACGTCGGTGTTCAGCTCTTTGCAGGCATTGTCTTCAGAATTTAGGATTTGTTTTTTTTTTATGTGGGAAAGACAGACTGCTGAGATTTCAAAGAGGTTTTCAAGCCCAAGTTCTCAGCGGCCTCGGAGGAATGTGTCGGGGCGTTTCTTAGCTTGTTGTTACAATATTCAGAACTTTGCTGGGTAAACTCAAACCTCCTAGGAATAGAGAAAAAAACACAGCTGGAGCTGAGCACAGTGAAAAAATGCACGGTTTTCTAAGCGACTCCACCTAATCTCTCAGATGAATGTAAACGTGTTTGTTTTCATGTGTTTTTCCTCTCAGAATAAAATGACGGTGTTTGTTATGAAAGAAGTTTCACTTCTTCAAATAGGGAACGTCTCCTCTGTCCTACTTACTGTGTGTACTTGCTAGGAAATGTAGAGCATCGTCGTGTTTATAAGAGGGGCCCAGCACCCATGTCCTCAGTGAATATTTATTTATTTATCTTTGTCTTCCATTTCTTCTCTGTCCCACTGACCCACATTTTAACATCCAAACATTGTTCTCTGAACTGCCAACAAATTCTTACAGTAAATCAAACGTCATGACTTTGTATAATATTTAACATTAGCATACTTTTAAATTTAACAAATCCTATTGTATTTTCCTTCATTAGTCATTTATATAAATAATATTTAAAAAATGGCCGTTTGTGAAAGCCAGGAATTCCAGGCCCCATGGAAGGATATGACAATGGGCTCTGATGTAACAATCACGATTATATTATATATTGCTACATTTCAAAGCAGCATTTTGCAGTAATCTCATAATAAATGAATATTTTTTGGGCCCCTATTGTCCTCAACAGTGGCAATAGTTGCAACTGCAATGTGTTTTTCACAAATCTCTTTAAAAGGCCTATTTATTTAAATTCCAGCTCAGTTCAGAAACAAGTACGTAGCATTGTGTATCGCTAAGACCAAAGAGTTGCTAGCACATTATATCCACCTAGTGCTCGGACTTAAGCGCTGTGAGCAAATAAGAAAAAAAAACGTTGTTCCTCCTCAACAATAAAAGCTACTAAACTGAATAGAAAAAAAAGGCAGACGAGGCTAAGATTCTAAGAAAACATTACTGCCACCTAGTGGTGGTAAATCTTTGAATACCTTTGTTATAGTAGCTACCATACTTGATATTTAACTTATAGTCATATACAGTGTATGAAACTGTATTTTCGTATGTTACCATTGCATAAAAATGTTGACTCATGACCAGATTACTGAACGGCCCAGTCTGACTCAAACATTAATGTTAGACCAACTTTAACTTAACTGTATTTGAGTGTCCAGAAAAACATCGTCTCTTCTGTCAAATACAGTTGGTGACCCCTGTATATATGGCACAGGAACATAAACACTGCATCTCACAGTCAATCAGTGCAGCCGCTTAAATAATTCACAGAAACTCCTCCTAAATAAAACATAGTGTGGTGTCACTGATTCACAGGATTAATGATGTAAAACCCAGCAGTAAATGATCATGGGACAAAAACAAAAAAAAACTGTGCAAAGTTTTAATAAGTCGGGACATTTTGTTGGAAAGATAATCTTGTCTTGAAGTCTGCATTAGGTCAGAGAGTGACGAATGGGAGCGAGAGGAGAAAACACATTTTCAAAGAGAAACAGTAGCCTGCAGTTTGTAAAGCTATTATCTGCCTTTAGGGCCAGTTTATTTTTAAATTGGAAATTCCTCTACTATCTCTGGCCAAAGTGGCAGATGAGGCTCTTATCTCCATTCCACTCTTATCTCCTTTTTTTTTTACCGCTCACTGATAGTTTATCAGCCAAGGTGGTTAAGAGGCAAGCACCTCCACCAGTGTTTTGATATGTTTTTATCAGTTAATAACACTGTCATCTGCATGGCTCGTAGACTGTGGGTCAGGAAAAGAAAAACACCAAAGACTGTGTTCAGCTGAACCATATCTGTGGCTGCGGATGATCAACAGGCTGCCAAACGACAAAGTAGCACACTCAAGAACTGCTCTGCATGTGTGTGTCTGTGTGTGTGTGGGGGGGGGGGGGGGGGGGGGGCACACCCCCAAAG